AGAAATGGAATCCTACCATATGTCTGTAACCTTTTGAGTCTGGCTTCTTTTATTAAAATAATCACCCTTTTAAAATAGGCTTTGCTTTTTGTGTCCTTAGAGTTTATTCCCAAATTCTAAAACTCACCTTTTTTTTTTTTTTAAAGAAATCCTTAGAACCCTCCACCCTGCTGCTCCAGTTTGGATTAATTACTTGCTCGGACAGCTATACAGCTGAACTCTTGGGATTTCCCTTCACCAAATTCAGAGCATTTTATTTTCTCATGTTTTAGATCCTGTTTTCTGAATCTTGTCTTCCTTTTTCTTGGGGGAGCACATTCTCTAGTAGCCTCCTGAGAAAGAGTACATGGGAAGTAACCTTTTTTTAAAGCTCGTATGTCTGAAAACATCTTTTATTCTTACATGTGTGTATGTAGTTTAGCTGGGTATATATTCTAAATTGGAAGTTATTTTCCCTTAAATTTTTAATGGTGTTATTCCACTGTCTTTACGCATTCAGTGTAACTTTGAGAAATTCTGTTCCGATTCCCAGTCCTTTGTATAGGACCTATTTCCCTAACCCCTGAAACCACAATTAATTTATTCTACTTTTGATGAGTATTGGGGATTTTTCCAGTTTTGGGATATTATGAATAATGCTTACAAGAACATTCTTGTACATGTCTCTTGATGTGTGTATGCACAATTTTGGTTGTGTATATATACACTCGTACTTAGAGGTAGAATTACTGGGTTATAGGCAATGCATGGGTTCGGCATCGGTTGTTATTACAGAACAGTTTCCTAAATGGTTGTATTGATTTACACCCCCACCGGCAATGTGAGTACCTGTTTTCTCATGTTCTTGCTATAACTATGGTCTTTTAAATTTGAGCCATTCTAATGTATGTGCAGTGATCTCACTATGATCTTACTTGTGTTTCCCTGATGGCTAAAAGCACCTTTTCAGAAGTTTATTGGACATTTGGACACCCTCTTTTATGAATTGCCTGTTCAAATCTTTTGCGCATTGTTCTGTTGTTTTTTTTAGTTGATTTGAAGGTTTTTTGTTTTTTTTTTTCATTTCTTGGATGTGAACCCTTTATAGTTTTACAAATAATTTCTCTCATTTGGTGACTTGCCATTTCATTCTCTTAAAAAGATTTTTTTGATGAACATAAGTGCTTAGTTTTGTTTTTTTGTTTTTGTTTTTGTTTTTTTTTTTTAAACTGGGGAATTGGGAACAGTGCTGGGGAATTGGGGGAAGGGGAACAGACAAGTCGCTGTCGTTTTGTTCTTTAGTCCAGTTGTGGAGGACGTTGCTTCACTGGCCCAAGTTGGCACCATCACTGCGCTCTCCCCGGGCGAGGCAGACTGGTCACTGGCCGGCTGCCGGCCGCTCACACTGGCTGCCGGCCGCTCACACTGGCTGCCGGCCGCTCACACTGGCTGCCGGCCACACAGGGCAGCCCATTGGCAATCCACTGCCACAGGGGCTGCAGCCCCCGCCGTCGCCGGCGACCCATGGCAGCCCAGCCCCAGGTTGAGCTGTTGTTAAGCATCTCAGCTGTAGAGGGCAGCGTCACTGGCCCTCACATGTGGGATCCGAACCGGGGCCCTCTGGCATCCCAAGCCAGCCCTTAACCAACGCGCCACTCGGCCGGCCCGCTTAGTTTTAATACAACTCATTATATCACTATTTTCCTTATTAGTGCTTTTTAATTTTTTTGTATTGTTTAAGAAATCTTGGCGTATCTGGAGGTCTTGAAGATACTCTGTCTTTTAGAGGCTTTATTGTTGCGCCTTTTACATTTAAATATACACTCTACTTGGAATTGATTTTGGGATGTGGTGTGAGCTTTTCCATATAGATATCTGGTTGACCCAATGTTATTTATTGAAATCTCTTTTACCCCCATGCTCTGTAGTGCCACCTTTGTCTGTTTCATGTCTATTCTGATCCACAGGTCTACAATTTATCCTTGTACTGATATCATATTGTCTTATTTTCTGTAACTTGATGCATGTTGATTTTGACTATAGTATATTGAATAGGAGTAGCTTCCCCTACCGTTATCTTCAAGATTCCTTGACTTTTGGCCCTTTGCCATTTTCATACACATTTTATAATGAACCCATACATTTTTACAACAAAATTTTGATTGAGATTTCATTCAATCTATTGAATACAATACATTGATTCTCTCTTCCCCCACCCCTCTTTTTTTCTTCCCCTTCACTTCTTCTTTGGTTTGGTTTTCCTTAATTTCTCTTGATAATATTTTATAGCTTTCTATGTAGTGGTCATGTATAACTTTTGTTAGATTTATTCCTTGGCATTTGACATTTTTTGATGGTATTGTAAATAGTGTTTTTAAAATTGCGTTTTCTAACTGTAGCTGTAATAGAAAAACAAGATTGGTTTTTATATTGTTCTTATATTTTAATACGTTACCTTTAGATTCTTTTGGATTGTATATATGTACAATCTGCAAATATCATATCTGCAGATGAAACTTATTTTATCCTTTCCAATCTTATACCTTTGACTTCTTTTTCTTGCCAGCCTAACTAGCTGTGCTGCCTATCCAATGTATTGAAGTGACATATTCCTAATCTAAGAGGGAAAGCCTTAAACATTTCACCGTTAAGTATGATGTTTGCTAAAGGTTTTCTGTGGATACTGTTATTAATTCACTTCTTTTCTGAGTTTATTATGAGTGGATGTTGAATTTTATTAAAATGTTTTTGCTGCATCAGTTGAGATGTTCATATGAGTGTTGTTTTTTTTTAAGCTGAGCCATCCTGCCACCTGTTGGCAGCTTAGCGGCTGCTCAGCTCGGGCTGGGAATCGAACTGCTGTTGCTCAGAGCTCAAACTCTTGAGCAAGCTCTTAACCAACTGAGCCACTCGGCCAGCCCATGAGTGTTCTTTTTTGTTATTAATGTGATGAATTATTGGGTTGTCGGAAAAGTCATGATGCATTTTTGGAACAAAAAACATAGAAAAAATATGTCGTGACTTTTCCGACAACCCAATACATTGAGTAAAATTTTCAAATATTTAATCAAATCTGAATTTCTGATAACAGGTTTTCATCCTTTTTATAGATTGCTATATTTGATCCACTGATTTATTTTTTTATTACAATTTTTTTCTTCTGTGTTAAAGAGTGAGAATGGCCTATAATTTTCCTTTCAGTGGGTTTGGTATTAGGTTTAAGCCATTAGTCATGGCTTTAGTTGCACCTTACAAGTTTTGATATCTAGTATTTTTCACTATCATTCATTTCAGAATATTTTCAAATTTCATCTTGGGTTTCTTCTTTGACCCGTGCATTTTTTTAGAAGTATATTTTTTAATTTCCACAATGGGGGTTTTGTAGTTATATTTCTGTTTACAGATTTTAGGTTAATTGCACTGCAGTCAGAGAACATAGTCTATATTTTGATTCTTTTAATTGTGTTGCATTGGTTTAGAAACTGGTCATTTTGTAAATGTTCTCTGTACTCTCAAAGAATTTGTAAAGAGCAATAATTAGATGTAAAGCTGTAGATGTGTCAGTTTTGTTTGTGTTAAAATCTTCTATGTCCTTACTAATTTTTTATCTACAGATATCAGTTTTTAAGAGAAATTATAAAAATCTCCCACTGTGGTTGTGGATTTGCCTATTTCCCTTTTTAGCTTTGTCAATTTTTGCCTTATGTATGCATTTGTTGAATCTGTTTATTAGGTATATTCAAATTTAGAACTGTTACATTGTCCTGGTTGACCTTTTTATCCATAAACTGTTAGAACTAATAAACAAGTTTAGCAAGGCTGCAGGATACAAAATCAATATACAAAAATCAGATGAATTTTATATACTTACTTGCAATAAACAATCCAAAACTGAAATTAAGAAAACAGTTCCATTTATAATAGCATCAAAAAGAACAAAGTACTTAGGAATAAGTTTAACAAAAGGAATACAAAACTTGTACAGTGAAACTACAAAACATCAGAAATTAAAGAAGGCCTAAATAAATGGAAAGACATCAATGTTCACGGATTGGAAGACTTAATATTGCTAAAATGGCAGTACTCCCATGTTGATTCAATATAGTTTCTATCAAAATCCAAGTTGGCTTCACTGCAGAAATTGACAAGCTGATCCTGAAATTCATATGGAAATGTAAGGGACTCAGGAGAGCCAAAATAATCTTGAAAAAGAAGAACAGAGTTGGAAAAAAAAAATCACACTTCCTGATTTCCAAATTTATTACAAGTCTATAAAAGACTGTGACTGGCATAAGGGTAGAGGACATCTGGATCTATCTTAGAAAAGGGAGAGAGGAAGGCCAATCGGAAAATTTCTGGCTTACTTTGCATTTTGAAAATGGAAAAGGAGCTTCCAGGTAGAAAAGAGAGGGAGGTGACATTTTAGGCAGGGGAAGAACATGTGTAGAGAGGCATAGAGAGAGAACCTGAGCTTAGACTGTGCGTTGGGAAAGAGAGGAGGCTAGCAAGGAAAGTAGGTGATAGAATGTTAAGGGTGTTGTGTCACAAGGCAAGGAGTTGGACATTTAGCTTGTAGGCTGTTGGGGAGCTTTGAAGGTTTCTAGAAAGTGGCCTTTGAACTATTGTCTTGGGTTGGTGTGGGAGGCAGCTGCTCTCCTTTGCCATATACGCTAGTCAGTTCTCAGTAGCCAAAGGGATTTGGTTCTAGGACCCCCGCGGACACCAGCATCTGCAGATGCTCAAGTCCCGTATATAAAGTGGTGAATAACAATGCATACATATGTCAGCCCTCCACATCTGTAGCTTTCCAACCGCAGTTCAAAAATACTATTTTCAATCTGTGGTTGGTTCAATCTGTGCATGTAAACCCCAGGTATACGGAGGGCCAACTGTATATTTATCTACTGGAAAAAAACCGCATATAAGTGGACCCACCCAATTCAAACCCGTGTTATTCAAGGGTCAGTGGTAGTTCTGTCCTCACCAATAAAATGTTTCTCTCTTTTTTTTTTTTTACTCAGTTCACTGAGACTTTTTTGACGGAAAGGGACAAACCGTCCAAATGGAGTGGAATTCCTCAGCTGCTCCTTAAGCTGTATGCAACCAGCCACCTCCACAGTGACTTCGTTGAGTGCCAAAACATCCTCAAGGTAATTCTTTTGGGCCTTGGAGGGGCTGCATGCAGGGCCTCCAGGTGACATAAGATGTCTGCTTTTTTAAAAAATATTTTTTTCAGTTTGCTATTTAAATTAGCCTGTTTTTATTGTGTAAGTTGTAGAAAATTTGGTAAGTTCAGAAAAAGTACAAAAAAGAAAATAAAAATTGCCTATAAAGAAGATAAATACCCCACAACCCAGAGTTAACCGCCATTAAGTTCCCTGTATATGTCCTTCTGGGCTTTGTTTTGTGTCAGTTCTTGCTTAATTTGAGAGGTCAACACTGTGCCCTGGGATTGGGATGACATTCTTTTTAAACAGGGTTAGGAAGATCCCATATTGCCAAAGGCTCATGGAAGTAGCCTTATGGTTGTTGATAATTATGACTAACATAAGAAGGTGGAAGGGACTGGGCTTGGTGATGGAAAGAGTGTAGAGAGAGATATGCTAAGGCAGCTGTTCGCACACACGCACACTGGAGTGTGTATTAGAATCAACGTGGGAGGCTTGTTAAACAGAGCCTGGGCCCCACTCCCAGAGTTTCTGATTCAGTAGTTCTGGGATTACCATATCTAAACTTTAGCTTAGGGGTGGGGTCCAAATTTGAATTTAGAGCACTGGCTTTAGCTGCAGTTAAAACCCATGCAAGTTATTTTTGGTCGCAATGAAACTTAATGATACACTGTTTTTCAGAGGTGAAATTTTGATTATATCACATAATAAGTCATTCTGAAATATGATAGGCTCCAGATAAGCTTAATCTTTATGTTTAAGAAGAGATGTTTTGTATTCTTGATCTTCTCATAGTCTGATTAGGATAGAAATGATTATAGTCTCTTACACTTGTTTCAAGACACTTTGCAACGAGTTACACATTATTTCATTTGATTGCTGCAGAATCTTTGAGATATGGAGAGGAAGGGGGAGAAAGAAGTAGAAGGAGGGAAATTAATATTTGTGAGTGCTTGCTGTGTGATCATCACTTTTTTATTCATCTAGCAAATACTTATTTGAAACTTACTAGGTACCAGGTATAGTTAACTCTGATGGGAACTCTGTGAAATGGGTGGTGTTTTACTTTGTATTAGTCTAGAATATTTTGATTGTAGGTGACAGTAACTCACTCGGACTAGAAAAAGAAAAGATCCTTTATTGTCTCACGTAACTGGAAAGCACAGGTATGAATTCAGGAGCTGAGCAGTTTGGCTGTCCATTTCTTAACACCCGTGAATGACCTCATGTTCCTCCACGTGATCACAGGTCTCGGGTAACATTTCTACAACGTGGGCCAGCCACTGAGTTGAGGGGACTGAGAGACTATTGGCGAGGCCTGATCACCTGCTCCAGAGGCTGGGACTCAGGTGCTTGTTGGCAGCCCCAGTGGAACCATGTGGAAACTAGGGAGGGGCATTCCCCTAAGGAAATAGTGCTGTTACCTGAAGAAGAAAGAAAGGTGCCAGGCAGGCAAAATCCAGATGTTTTCTATATTCTCTTTTTCAGCTGAGAAAACTGAGACTCAACAATAACCTGCCCAAAAGCCTGGTGGCTACTATATGATGAGCCCAGATTTGTCTTATCCTGAGACCAGCTTTCACTGTGTTATGTTATCAGCAGGAAGTACATCATGGATTTATAGATGAGAAAAATGAGACCCAGAGAAAGTGGTTCAGTTAGTTATACTAATTATGTGACCCTGGGGAACTTTGTGATTTTGTTTTTCGCCTGTAAAATCAGTAAAACTACACTCACTTCATTGAATTATTTTAAGGATTAAATGAGCTAAAATATAAAATCCAGTGCCTGGCATATAAGTTTATCATAAGAGCGAGTTCTGCTTTTTCTTGATGTGTGGTACCTGGACCAGCAGCATCAGCATCACTTGGGAACTTGTTATAAATGCACATTCTCAGGCCGCACAACCCAGACCTATTAAATCAGAAATTCTGCAGGTGAGACCCAGTCGTCTGGGTTTTAAGAAGCCCTTCACATGAGTCTGATGCTCATCAGTGTTTGAGCGAACAATGTTTGCTCTAGCCCATTGTGTTCCATTTTTGCTCAGATTCCTGAGGAGAGAGCATAATGAACAGGGTGCTAGATTCTTCCTACTCCCCTATTTCACCCATAATAGTTCTGCTTTCGTCTGTAAGCACAGACTTTGGCGCAGGACTTCCTACGTTTCATTCCTGGCTTGACCAGCTGTGTCACATGGACAGCTTCGTTGTGCCTCAGTTTCCTTATCTATAAAATTGGGATGAGTTACTATCATCTCTTACTGGGTTGTGAGGATTAAAAGAGGGAATACATTGAAGTACTTAGAATGATGCTTTGAACCAAGCATTAAATAAATGAGCTATTACTATTATTACAACTTTTATTATTATATCAACTTTTTTGTAAGATTACTATTTATATTGACTGTATTGAAAACCTGCTATACTATCATGGGACCTGTGGAGAATACAAAGAGGAATCTGTCTCAGTCTTCAGGGAACATTTGTAAAAAAGTACAAAGTAAAAGTGCTAAATGTCACAAATGAATTGCAGATTGCTTTGGGGGTTCAGAGGTGCATCAGATTGCTTCTGGCGGAGAGGAATCAGAGAAGACTTCCTAAAGGAGGTGACATTTGAGCAATATTTTAGTTATCTATTGCTGCAGAACCAGCCACCCCAAAACTTAATAGCTTGAAATATAATCACCATTTAATCCCTAATAATTCTTTGGGTTGATGGAGTGGTTTTTTTGCTTCATGTGGTGTTGGGTGGGGTATTGAATCATCTGGAAGGTCCAAAACGACTTCACTCGCATGGCTGGTAGGTTGGTGCTGACTATCAGCTGGAGATCAGCTCAGAATATCAGTCCCGGCCTCAGTTCTCCGCCTCATGGCCTCTCTCGGTATCTATGCTGGACTTCTCACAACATGGTGATTGAGTTCCAAGATGGCAAAAGCCAACTTTGCCAGTCTTTCTTAAGGCTTAAGGCCCGTAGTGGCATAGTGTCACTTTGGCTGCATTCTGTTGGTTGAAGTGAGTCACACCAGCCCAGAGTCAGTGTGGGAGAGGATTCTATAGGGGCCTGAGCACCAGGAAGTGTGGTTCACTGCGGGGGCTGTCTTTGTGCTCGTGGGGATTTAAGTTGGGGACTAAAATGCAAGCTGATGCTTTGGTGTCTGGTTCATGTTAGATAACAAAAACTGAATGTCTATCTGTATATTTTTTTAAAAACTAGGAAATTTCTCCTCTTCTCTCCATGGAGGCTATGGCATTTGTTACTGAAGACAGGAAACTTACCCAGGAAACCACTTATCCAAATACTTATATTTTTGACTTGTTTGGAGGTGTTGATGTAAGTAGTCGTTTATTATTCCTACTGCTATTACTACTGCTACTACTGCTAAATAGCTTGAGAATTTAACTCTGAAATGGGAGACAGGAAACATTTCAGAATTTATACCAAACATTTGTGCATTTTAATCTTTAAAAGCTCAGTGGCACTCACCTATGTTGAAGCAGCATAGCTTTTACATAGAAGAATTGATTTATTTGAATTTATAATAGAGCCACCTTTTTTTAAGGCACAAAGTGAAATGTATGTCTCCCATTTCCCCAGTGTCCTCTCCTCAAAGGCAGCTGTGATTACTAGTTTCACCTGTGTCCTTCCAGAGACATTCTGTGTGTGTGTGTGTGTGTGTGTGTGTGTGTGTGTGTGTGTGTGTGTGTGTAAATGACCCCACTGCCCCCACCTTAGGTTTATTTTCTCCCCACATAGAGGTGGCATATTATCTATATAGGTACACTGCCTTGTACCTTGCTTTTTCCATGTAATTTTCCAGCTTGGGGATAGTTTCATTTGGGTACATGTACATCTGTCTCATTATTTTAAACATCTCTATACTGTTCCCTGGTATAATGGTACCATAATTTATTTACCCAGGCCTCAGTCGATGGGCATTTAGAGCTTTCTCACACCTTTTCTATTACAAACAAGAGTGCAGTAAAGGTTTTGTACATACTTGTATGTACATACGAGTATATACCTTTGGGATCAAAGCATATGTGTCTTATTGTTTATAAATTTGTCAATATAGTGGGTCGTCTGGAAAGTCATGACCCATTTTTGCATTGAAAAACAGAGAAAAACACGTCATGACTTTCCCGACGACCCAATACATACCTAAGAGATTTTATCAACTTACATCTTCAATAACAAAGTATAGGAGTGTCTGTTTACCATACCATCACCAACTCAGTGTGTATATATGTGTGTGTTTACGGACTTTGTTATTGATGTATAACTTGTGTACAGAAAAGTACACTAATAATTAACCACAAAGTAAATGTACTTTTGTTACTACCACCCAAATCACGAAATAGAACATTACCAGCACCTAGTAGCTTCCTTCACCAAACATTATATGTTAAGTATTTTAAATACTTACTAAGCACACATGAGAAAAATGGTATTTCTTCATAGTTTTTTTAACAGTTTTTTATTGAGATATAGTTCACATACCATACAAGTCACCCATTTGAAAGTATACAATTCAGTGGTTTTTAGTGTGTTCGTAAATGTGCACCCAAAACCACGGTCCATTTTAGAACATTTTTATCACCCCAAAAAGAAACTCCAGGGCCGGCCGAGTGGCGCGTTGTTTAAGAGCTGGCTTGGGATGCCAGAGGGCCCCGGTTCGCATCCCACATATGAGGGCCAGTGACACTGCCCTCCACAGCTAAGATGCTGAACAACA